ATAGATAGATAGATAGATAGATAGATAGATAGATAGATAGATAGATATAGATATAGATATAGATATAGATATAGATATACACATACACACACACACACACACACACACACACACACACACATTATCATTGTTTGCATTTCAGTCTTGTCTGGATTTTGCAATGTAGTTCTCAATTAACTATGCATTTAAAGTGGAAATTTTGAATGAAATATATTAAGACCTGCATATTTCTAATAAAATATATTTATTTGAATATCGATTTGTGCGTAGCCAAAACATTTTAATGTGAGAAACAGATGGAACTAATTTATAAATGCATTTGGACCAATAATAACTCGATTGTTCCTTCCTAGTGTGCAGGTGGAAACCAAAGAAAGTAATCATTTTAACTAAAGCTTCCTTCATGGTTTTGGTCTTGTAAGCCACCTGCTTTCTTCTATCAGCATGTGTACTGAAGAGCAGTTCCTCAACTTTATGTCACCCAGAGATTTTGCATTATAATTTTTATCATTCCTTAACATTTCTGTGCATGCAGGCTGTAGCTGATGGGGATGGCAATCCTAAATTTGTGAAGGCTATTGATTTGGAGAAGGTTGATAGCTGAGGTTATGACTCTTTAATATTCCATTCTTTACTGCCTGATTTTTCCTATTAATAAACACACTGCACTCAGGTCTTTGCAATCATCATCTCCTGGAAGTTTTGAAGAAGAGATTGGATAATCATTTGTCTGAAGTGGTGTAGGGTTCCCTGACTAAGCAGGGGTTGGACTAGAAGACCCCCAAAGTACCTCCTAACTCTGTTATTATTTTATTCTTCTCTGACCATGGTTAAGCAGGCAACATAAAATTATAGGAAGTCTATTTCCAGAGAAACAATGAGATATAAAAATAGCATATAAATAAGCAATGTGAATACCCTTTTTGCAATTTATATGTGGTCCTGGGTTGGAGACGAGGACAATACTGATCATGATAAACTTGTTCAGCTCTTGATTCCCAGTCTGAAGAATTGAGCATGTTTCCATCTCTTATTCTTTGTTTCAGACTCCCACCATGAGAAGCAAAATGTTGTTCCTCGCAGCATTCCATGCGGTATTCTTTGCTTCCATACAAGTCATGGCTCAAAAAAGGGAGAGAGGTGAGTCCTGGTTAATTTAATTCTTCATGGCAGCCTTATAGATTATAACACCAACATCTGTCTTTTGCACTTCATTCAGCCACTGTGTTGGCTAGACAAGGGATAGCAGGAAACTCAGTAAAGCTAAGAGGTAAAGCTGTTCCTCTGTTAGAGAAGGACCCTAGAGAGAAGAATTTGTAAAAACACCATGTGAAATCTTGGAGAGCTACACAGAGCACCATATGGTATGATTTTACTTCTAGCACACCTGGTGTAATAGGAGAGCAAGGATTAGATACTGGAGTTCATTTGGAAGTCTCCAGAAAATACAGGGGGATTGAGAGCTCATGAATGAAGTTGAACATGGCCAGGTTTACTTTGTACAACTTTGTGTATTTAAAAGCACTTTCATAGAGTGTAGTTTTTAAAGATAAATAAATAAATAAATAAATAAATTACAGAACGTACCTGGTACACCATTCTTAATTATAGTTTCATAACAGCTATGCAATAGGAGGAAAGAACTTCTGTTTTTTTCTCCTCAATGTTACCAATTTTCAAAGTCATTTAATACTAATAATTGCTTTGACTGTGCGCTTGGGGCAGGGGTGGGATTGAAAAATGTTAACAACCGGTTGTCTGTCTGGTTGCTGGGTGGGCATGGCCATGGTAGACATGGCATACTTGGCCTCCTGCACCATGGTGAGGAGGGTATTTTTGCCCTCCCCAGGGTCCAGAGGCTTTCTCTGAGCCTCCAGGAGAGCGAAAACGGCTTCCCCGAGGCTCTGGAGGCCCTCTGGAGGCCTTCCAAAGGCTGGAAACAGGCCCTTTTTTGGACTTCCAGGAAGCCCTTTTTTCCACCCAGCTCCTGCTGTTCTTTTGCTTTGTAGTATAAATGGAAGGAGGGGATCCACTGATGAAGGTAATCCTCCTGACCAGTTGATGTTGCCTTGCAGTGGTCTGCACCAATGTATACCTGGCCGACATTGCATTCCTGATAGATGGATCCTCTAGCATTGGCAGGGGAAATTTCCGCATGATCCGATCCTTCATGGAAGGCCTGGTTGTTCCTTTTATCAATGTGGTGGGTGAGAGCGGGGTACGTTATGCAGCTGTGCAGTACAGTGATGACCCCAGGTGAGTCCTAGTTACTTGCTTTTCATGTTACTTACTTCAGACAAATTCTTGGAGAACAGCTGTGTTACTGACTTGGATAAATGGGGCTGCTATACTCTCAAGACATAATTTCACTAAATGCTGGGGTCAATCAGTTTGCCTTCATGACATGTAGAGTTCTTTGAGTCTCCTAGGTGGCCACAATACTGAATATGATGTCCAATGGATTAGATAGCCTGCCTTCCCCCAGGCTGGTACCATGCAATCTGGGAGTTGAACTCAGTGCACCTAAAAAGTACTGGTCTGGAGAAGATTGAGAGGTCAAATCACAAAGAACTTTTAACTGGTTTCACTTGCAATTAAAACTCTATTTACTTCTAACCATCTAGAATAACAAGTTGGAAGGGACCTTGGAGGTTGTATAATCCAACCTCCTGCTCAGGCAGGAAATCCTATACCATTTTAGACAAATGGTTGTCCAATTTCTTCTTTAAAATCTACCATTTTGGACCACTCACAACTTCTAAACTGATTAATTGTTCTGTCAGGACATTTCTCCTTAGTTCTAGGTTGCTTCTCTTCTTGATTAGTTTCCATCCATTGTTTCTTGTCCTTCCTGCAGGTGCTTTGGAAAATAGCTTGACCCCCCTCTTCTTTGTGGCAGCCCCTGAGAAATCAGAACATTGTTATCATGTCACCCGTAGTCGTCCTTTTCATTAAACTAGACATACCCAATTCCATCAACCGTTCTTTATATGTTTTAGCCTCCAGGCCCTTATCCTCTATTCCTAAAGGGTGACCCTCAAAATAGCCAGACTGCAGTTCTCAAGAGAAAGAGAAAGATGTATTCCCTTTCTTTACTCTATTTGCAGAGTAAATCTATTTGATTAGAAGATGTGCATTGAGTAACTTGTTAAATACTGCCAGCTGGCCACAGAAGGGGCTGCAGTGTGAGTGTATTTTGTACATATTCTTGAGATTCATGTTCACTCTAAAGACAAACAAAACTGCATTCATGACATACCGGTAATTGCCTGTTACTTGTAAGAGGAGCCAAGTACACTATTTATAATGTTGAAAACCTCCCAAAAAAGCCTGAGATTGATTCTTTTTTAAAAATAACAACTACTTGACAACAAAAATTGGTTATAGAGCAGTATTCTGGGAAATCCTTCCTCTCTCAACTGATGGGCTTTCAAGTAATAGTGTGGTTCCTGCTCTTGCTTTTGGTTAATTACTTTTAATTTCATTTGATTCCAGGACTGAGTTCAAATTCTCGGACTTTCTCAATGGAACGGAAGTGATACGGGCAGTCCAAGAGATAGCCTTCAAGGGCGGGAATACTCGCACAGGAGCAGGACTGCGTTACGTAGCAGATAACCTATTTGGGGCCAATGAGCTCCGGCCTAACATTCCAAAGGTATTGTGAAAACTTTTACTGCCCCAACAGAAAGAGAAGGGAATGGCCAGAGAATCCTGGGCAGAATCTTACAGGTTTTGACCATTCTGACAGCCATTTTTAGCCTCTTATAATATTGAAAAAATGTTTGTCAGTAGAAGTATGATCTGTTGCTCCATGAATGCTGAATGGATACAGCACTTAAACCTCACCTTTTTTTAATTTTAAGGGCTGTATGAGGAATATCTTTCCTATTCTAGCTTCATCATGTAATGTAAGCAAAACACCCCATAAGGGACATTTAAATGCTACATATTGTTAATGGACCAATATTAAATAATAACTCTTACTAGTGTTCTGAAATAAGGGTGTAGGTTCCCAGAAATGTGTTTAGCAGTCCTGACCTTTATTTTTGCCTCAGCCATCTAACTGCAGGTGGTCAGGCTGAGCATACACTGAGTTGTTCTTCAAAAAGAATTGAGCTTAAGTCTTTGTGTGATGTAGTATATTGCATTTCTCCCCCTTAGATCTGTATTCTCATTACTGATGGAAAGTCTCAGGATGAGGTTGAGCAGACGGCCTTAAAACTGAAGAATCAAGGCATTAAAGTCTTTGCAGTGGGTGAGTGATCTTGCAGCACAGGATGGATATCAAATAAGGACAAATTTAATGGGACTTTCTCCCTCTGCACCAGTCACTACTTCTCATCACCTCCCCCTTGTTAACTGTTTGCTGAAAGAAAAACATATTGGATGGGTGGTACGTGAAATGCATATACCAGTTCTTACTTGCCACTTTAGGGCTAGGTAAGATTGAGAACATTGCAAGCACGGGAGGGGCCCTCTAGGTTTATTAATCCTGGAATCACTCCCCTCTTAAATCAGATTATAGTATCTTTTGAAATTACGAGGGTTAAATCAGACTTTGCTTATGCCTCCGGTAAGCCTGGGGAAGTCTGCACTTGCAAACTGAGAATTCAGTTATACAACTATAATGCAACACTCTGGCTAAATGTTACAGAAAGCAATTGTTTATTGATGCATTGTTCTTGGTACACAGAGGAATATTTTCCCAGATTAGAATTTAAAAATAAAAAAAAAATCTGACTCCCACTACCAATGCAAACGAAGTGCATCAAAAATAAAGGTAAATATATCAATTTCAGTTATACAGAAAACACAAGCACTATTTTTGGCAGGAGAAATCCCTAAAATCTCAATGCTTTTATTAAATCAACTCAAAAGCCACAAAAATGTACAGGCTTTCAAAATCTCCACATTTCTTCATCAAGTAAGATATTCATCTCACCACCCTGATTATGAAGACATTACCATTTTAATATCTTTAATAATGTCTCTTTTCCTATTTTTCCAAAATCTTTTTAATGTATTGCCCACTGAAGAAATCTCAAAGGGCAGGGGAAAAATTTTACATGCATTTTTGGCATTTGCCTAAGAAAAGCATAGTCCTAATATGGATTTCAAATTAGAGATGTTAGTGTATAATATATGTGTGGAAGCATTTTTTTTTTCCAGCAAAACCATAAAAGACTCCCAGTTCTCCCCAAGCATGTTTTGAAGAAGGACAAAATGCCTCCCCAGAGAGCTTGGAGCAACTGTTACTGTTTTCCACCAAGTTTCTGTGGTGGAAATTTAGCATATTTGGATTAAAAGCAACTGGGACAAGAACTGGCAGAGCTTAACTGGCCTCAACTATTCTTTAGGGCAAGAGGCTGGAGTTTTTCTCAGCCCTCTTTAAAGATCTTAGATATTGAAGTGCAGGCAAAAGATGTGCCCTTCCATGGAATTCTAGTATCTTTTCAAATTACAAGGATTAAATCAGGTTTATAGCTTCAGGAGGCCTCCATATGTTTTGGTTTAAGGCTTCCGTATTTTTTCCCTTTGATCAACTGATACCAGGGGCTGATAGAAGTGAAATCCAAAATGTCTAAGCATGCCAGTTTCTCAATCTCAGCTTAAATAGTAGCAAAATTTACCTTGGTGATCAAAGCCTGATTTATTTTGAGAGTTTCTGCCAGTGTGAAAAAGACCAACTACTGCAAGAATATAGCAATTGTTTAAAGGAGGTTTGGAGCTAACGCGAGGTGCTTCTTTTCTCTCTCCTTCACCCAGGTATCAAAAATGCAGACCGGAAGGAGCTTGACCGAGTGGCTTCCACACCCACGGAAGACTATTCCTTCTATGTTAATGATTTCAAAATCCTGGCATCCCTCCTGCCACTGGTGTCACAGAAGGTGTGTGCCAGCACAGGAGGCATCCTCCAGACAATAGGTAAAGGATTTGGAGGACTTCAGTGTTCGGTTTATTGTGCTATATAACTTTCAGGACTTTCCTTTCAGTGAACATCTGAATTTTGTTCTTCTCTTTTTTCCATGGAAACAATATTGGAGGAAGCTGAGGTCAGGGCCACTGATCTCCTGTTTTTGTTGATTTGACTTGAAATGTCAGCAAATGGAGCATTCCATCCTTCCATTGCAGGCCCCAGTTCCTATTGATGTCAACGCTGTCACTCTGCATTTGATAGATCCTTTCAGTTTTTCTGACATGCTTAGCCTTTCCTTTCCATGTCCACAACTGTCTGTAATGGTTTGTGTCAACAAGAAACCTGATTTCTGTCGTTTTCTCTGCTTTTTCTTTCCCTAAGGTGCCTACAATGGTCCTTCCAACCTGGTCTTCATGGAACAAGGAAGAGACATGCTAAGGATCCGTTGGACAGCAGCTGGTGGTCCTGTAATTGGATATAAAATTCAGTATGTACCTTTGACTGGCCTGGGGCAACAAATCATGTCAGAAAGGCAGGAGGTGAGTATTTTTCATAGTGCAAGCCTCATGCTTTCTCAGAAGTGAATTTAGCTATGTTCAGCTATAAAGGAGGGCAGTTTTAATGCGGCAGATACATGTGTGCAAAACATTCATTTTTGGGGAATTCTGAATTGTCCTATTTTACTTCCAAGACCACATTAGTCAATCCATTCTGGGGCTGATACAGCAGTTTTCTGGAAGTGAACCTTCTGGAATAGGAAGTGGTTTGTGGTGTTCTGGGGGTGACATTTCCCAGGATAAAATATTATGCATACAACTAATATGGGGATAAGGCCCTTTTTTGGTCTGAAAAGAGGTGGAGGGTACATTATCAACGTTAAATTAATGCCATCCCTCTCCCTATTAAAACAACAACATAAAACACTAACAAACTTTGTCTGTTTTCGGACCAGCCCATGTTCCACAGTGCTTTTTTAGTTGACACATATTGTTACAGTTGACATAATAATATTGAATTTTTGTTTATAAAAAAGGATGAAAGGTCCAGTGTCCACCCTGCATTCTAAGGGAGTTGTCTCATCACTTTATCTTTTTAAGAATGTAACTTACATCTTGAGCCAGTTACCCCGTCCGATTCCTTTGATCACTGTCCAGTTCTTATTTACTTAAAGTCCTTTTGGCTGTATAACAGAGCTGTCATTTTCTTGTGTGTGTTTGTGTGTGTGTATTAGAAGTATTTTATAATAGAAGAGACTAACTTGGGTAGTGGTAATTTGACAAATTTAGGTGATAATGAAGCAGGGCGCTGCTTCAATCACTCTGTTATTCTGTCTAAAGTTGTTTTAAGCAATCCTTCCATCTAGTAAATTGTGATTAACACTTTAGTGCAAGAAATGCGAGGTGAACATGTGACATGACTTGCAAGTAGTATAAGATGAACATTAAATGTGTTAGATGATTTGCAAACAATATGCAGTAAACATCAGATGAATAAAGTATTTTTATTTTTGTAATTTGTATAGAAGAGGAATTTTTATTTTTATATAAAGCCCTAACACAGTTCTGAAAAAAAGACATTTTATTTATTCCCAGTAGAATTTAGTTTTAGTATTGTAGTAATAATTTTTATCAGGAAAGTAGTATGGAGGTAGGAGGAGTTAAGTATTACTTGTCCCCCCTCAAGCAATTTTTCTTTGAGAAATACCAGAAATAGTAGAATGTAAATTTCACACAGATGCTATTTTCATATGTGATTAGATATGGTGGCAGTTAATGAGTGATAACAGATCCATTCTGGATATTAAACAGGTCAGTGTGGGATCTGGTGAGACAAGCACTGTACTCCGTGGCTTGAAAAGTGGGACAGATTACCTGGTCACTGTTATAGCTCAGTATGCCAACCGCATTGGAGAATCAGTTTCTGGCAAAGGACGGACACGTGAGTAATAAGCCCATCTTTGATATATTGAGATTCTGTAATTTAGTTGACATTTCTTGATACATTTCCTTTTAAAATTTCTCCCAAATAATTCCAGAATTTGGTGCCTTCAGATTTCTTGGGTATAAAATCCCACTTGTGCTTCTTTGGGTGTCTGTGTAGTCTTGTCATGTATAATATGTAGAATTTACAGTTATGTAGTTTCTGTGTATTACTATAGTCCAGGATATAGCCACAGTTTTTTGGTTGCAGAGACAGAAAGCTGGTGGGTAGAATAAGTTCATGGCTATCTTCTGGGAAGCCAAGAAAAAACATAATAAAAAGTCTGATATTGTTATGCATTTATTTCTGGGCAACCCAGGTAATACAGGAGTTTAAGCTCTTTTACAAGATGGCATTGGAGTTCCAAATAGCCTCCAAGATAGGGCAGGTATGCATTCACCATCTCTTTTCCTAGAATTTGGCTGCATTTTTCCAAATGCACTTGGTACATACCAAATGGTACAATTCTTACAGAGCATTATATTGCCTTTGAAGATGACTTTATTTAGGCATCATACCAAGAAACCTGACATATACCTCCATGTATGTCATCAAGAGTTGTGCTCTACTCAAAAATGACCATATTAAAAATTAATACATTAATTTGTTAGTGTGTTCTGTTCTCATCAGAATATCCCCCCCCCCTTTGCCTATGACTATCTCACATTATCACAGCTAGGCTGCTATTGGGCTGACCCCAGGAAACACTTCATGTATGTTTTGAAACTACTGCACCGACTACAGGTCCATTTTGAGTATTAGTCAAAGTCCTGCAATTGATCTATAGCGCCCTGTATACCTTTGGACCTTGTGTTCAAGGACTGTCTTTTCTCACTCGTGTCTTGTCTGCACCATTTTTATAACTTTCACTGTCTGAAGTCAGGAAGAAATACCCTTCTGTAATACCCTTTTTGTAACAGCTGAAGCCTGTTCATTATCCTGTGTCACTTTTGAATGTGTTGCCAGCATAATTTTACAATGCAGGGTTTTTTTTGGCAACCATTATCCCTTCAGATGTTGGGGTTACATTACATTCATTAGTTCCAGGCAGCCTAATAGTTGAGGTACTACAGGTGTTGTATTCCTGGAGCTCTGAAGGGAGCCTGGCTTGAGATGGCTTTGCCATTTTGCTCATTTAGCTCATTCCACTAGGAATGAAAATGACTCTACAGATTCCTATTAGTATAAGTGTCAGGACCCCCAACGAAAGAAGACTCAGAGGCTTGAGTTTCCTCAAAATTCCATTTTATTAGAAATGTCAGATATTGGCACATCTGGGAAAACACGAATCTGAAATTTTCTAGGTTTTCCCCACCCAAAAGTCCCTGCCCAGCACCCACATGTCCATCACATGATCCAATCAGGCACCATCCAAAATTGGAGATGACTCCCAGTTACATCATTGCAGCTGCAGGGCAAGATGTCTTTGACTCTCTGAGAAAGGAATGTTATTTTGACTATATATCACCCATACTCCATATAATCCCCACTCCCATTTTCCCAAAGTGGAAAATGTATCAGGCCTGAAGGCCCAATGTAAAAGATGACTTCCACGCCTGACAATAAGTTCTCTCATAACACGTTGTGTCTGGAACTCAAGTGAATGTGAAGAACCCACCCCATTGATTCTTTGTTTTCCTTGCAGAGATGCTGTCTGGCGTGACAAATTTTCGGGTGTTAGAAA